TTCTAAGTCATTATTAGGGTCGCGGAACATACAGTAGCGGTCAAAAGTTTGGAAACTTTTTTATTTTTGATCTAGCGTAGCCAATAGACAATGAAATTGCCCCGAATTCACATATTATATTCAGAATCAAGTGTAGATTACGATGGGTAACATGATTTTTTGAAAACTGAAATCGCATTTGAAAAATACGAATTTTTATAAGAAATGGCGCGTCAAAAGTTTGGAAACTTCCGAATTCCAAAGCGAATTCGGCAAAATAGCTCTCAAATCCACATGATAAATTAGTTATTCGATGAGTAGCTTTGAATTTCTATGTTAGCGTCGTTTTTATTGACATGGAGTTGATTATAAAATAATTTTAGGATTTTTAAGTCGGACCTCACACACTGTGAACTAAATCACATTGTTTGGTGGGATTCTTAACTGGAATGTGGGTTGAGCGACATGCCAGTTCTTCCGTGGGATGTAGAACTCAATTAGACTTTAGATCTTGACTTGGTCGCTTCATAACAGCTTCTTTTTCTGGGTTTAGGAAGGCGGCAGTGAGGAGGTAGGCCTGCATTGGGTCATTTCCGCGATAGAAAACCCATCTTTTCCGGCTAGTTCTGACTATCGAAGGGAAGCATTGTATTCTACAGACTATCCTTGTACTTAGCCCAACCCACATTTCGCTGGATACTAGAACTGGGGAATCGCCGAATGGTCGGACACATCTTCATCCATGACAATACTTCCACTATTTCTGACTGTTGGAATCTTATACTCAAAATGAGGTTCCCATTTGACAAAACACTTCACAGGGTCCACAACATTATTTCTAGGAAGATAGAAATCTCATTCGTCGCTGAGGACAAAGTTTCACCTCTCGCCTTCGGTTCATGTTAGCCGTTAGTGTGCGGAAGCCAGTTGGGCCATCCTGCTCTTGAAGCCCAACAATGGCTTCTTGTTGGGACATCATCCGTAATATTCACCAGGTCGCGGCCGATGTTGGCTGCACTTGGACTTTCATATGATTAGGAAAAAACCAGAAAAAGTTGTCTCTTAGTTGGGAATGTTGGGGCAC